GCTGGCTATCCGCCTGCTGTGGATTTCAAAACAAAGGAGCAAGGTCGTCAGTAATTTGCTGAAGGACTAGTGGGAGAAACGGTATGTCGAAGGACATAGCACCGTCCTAACCGTCACCACTCACAAGACCGGCGATAAAGAGCCAGCCACCATGGTAATGGACGATACCATGAGTGAACACATGCGACGGTAAGTGTTCAACTACGTCTGTACACGCAGGAATCTCCGTATCATTTTATGCAATATTACCTTTCAACCTTTACAGGTACTATACACTACGGCAAAGAATAATAACAAGGGACAATCATTTTTTCGTCAACAACAAGGGGCAAAGGGTTGTGAAGCTGTACGATGACGTCAATCGGATTTATGGTTCACAACTATCCGCAGGTGTATTCAAATCGAAATTGTCGGCATGCGTCTTCCGACGGATGATCGAGACGAAGTCCCGAGGTCACCGCCCGGAAGTCGGTAAAGCCGTAGCAGCATGCCTCCAGCATGGAGAGAGCACGGCTTTAAAGTTTTACCGCCTTCCGGATGCGAGCGAAGCCATCCGCCGGCAGGACAGGATTAATATGGTGGACAAAACGGCGGCTTTCGAGCAAGAAGTGATGGCAAAGTGAGTTACTGAATGTTTTTAAATCAACGATTGACATGATGATAGCAATTTTATTTTATCACAGCTTCGACGAAATATTTGGTAATGAACTTTATGTGAATATGACGGAGTCTCTGATACAAGAGAAGCTGCAGGGTTCGGATGAGATTACTTCAAATAGTGGAGCAGAGATCACAGCGTCATTTGTAAAAACCTTAAAAACAAGGTATGACATTTTAGTCGAAGAGTGGCGAATCGACATTTTGTATGAATTGGCGATACAAGAGTACGACCACACCAATATATCAAAACATGCCATAATTCAAATATCAAAAGACAATAGAATCCACTATTTCATCCACGGTGACAAAGACCGGATAGTTAAGGCAGTCATCAACAGAGTCAATAAGCGTTAGGTGCCGTCAGTGAATTAGTCCGAATGGGAAATCACTATAAAAAAAAAATGATTGACGTTGGGACGTCAGTGGATTAGGCCTCTTGGGGATACCACTTAAAAAAAAACGCGCTTTAGCTGATACCCCTTGGGTAGTGTGGAAATTCAGCTAGTACCTGAGCATTGCATCTGAAAAAATGTACGTTTAAAATGCGGAGCGATGAGTCAACCAGGAACGAACAATGTCAAAACCGAAGAAAAAAATGAATACCCCGCTTCAATCCTCGAAATTCCCAAATATTGTCCCCATGAGTCGATCTTTGAATTTTTATATTTTCTCGAACGTCAATCTCGATTTTTTGGTATAGAGACCTATAGCGAGGGACAATGTCAAAACCGAAGACGACGTCGAAAAAAAATGAATACCCCGCTTCAATCTTCGAAATTCCCAAATATTGTCCCCGTGAGTAGGTCATCGAATTTTTATATTTTCATCGAACGTCTGCTACCATCTCGAAATTTTCCTTCATGACCTCTTGGGAGTGACAATGTCAACCCCGAAGACGGCATCGAAAAAAAATGAATATCTTCCTTCAATCCTCAAAATTCCCTAATTATGTCCCCGTGAGTAGGTCTTCGAAATTTTTTTTTTTTTCCTTACCTGGCAATGAGACCTCATGACGGGGACAATTTCAACAGCACTATAGTCTCGGAATTGATTTCGATCAATATTCGAAAATTTTTCTACACGACCCGCCGTTGCAGCGCTAGTGAACGTATACTAATTACGTATACTAAATATTCGTCATACTAACGGATTTTTCTTTTTACGGTATAAATTATTGAGTGACGTCTCTTTGTTAAAATTTTAGAGTCTCTACCACCACCTCCATTATCTGACAATAACGGGATCGTGGTATTGGAAACTACCGTTCCAGAGGCCCCCGGTATTGTGGTCCTAGAAGGTAACAGTTAAATTTTTCTTTTTACCGTATAAATTATTGAGTGACGTCTCTTTGTTAAAATTTTAGAGTCCCTACCATCATCACAATCATCCAATAAAGTATCAAAAGAAAAAGGTAACAGTATTTATAATAAATAATGAATAATAGTTTTACTCATAAATTATAATCGCTTATTGATATTGATTTTTTAGTTGTTTTCAAAGGCAGGAAATGCAAGCGGATCACCGTAAAGCGGTTGGTTGAGATCCACCACCGCTCGGCATATTTTCCGAAGCCACCCATCAAATGTATAATGATTTTTCAATTTCATTTTTGGCCTCTCCTGTGTAATAATGTATAATGTGTAATGCAATATTTTACAGGCGATAAACCGGTCGCAGACGTTTGTGCTATGTCCGATGATGATAACAATGATACGATGATGACGGCTGATGCCCCAGTCCACCAACATATCGGTTTTGAGGCTGATGCCCCAGCCATCAACAACCACATACGTTTTGAAACCGATGTCGTCGAAAACCGTATGTGTTATTTTCAAGAATTTTTATACATTTTATAATCCTATTAATTTACAGATGATGTCGCTCTGGTTGACACTGACACATATATATTTGTCGACGGAGAACCGGGTATGTACCGTGTATACTCACCTTATGAGTTTACGATATTTATTTAACGTTATCGTTTCAGAGTTAGAACACTTTAATTGGGTCCCGGGCACTTCGGGATGTATGTCCAGCAAACTTGAGGTGGACACCATCTCCACCTCATCTCGATGACCTTCCGCGATCGTCTCCGGTACCGTCATGGGCCGACGGCACGCCGTTACCACCAGTGGAAGAACCTTCAGGGGAGGAGTCGCTGACATTTACGCCCGTCGTGGCTGTCTAGGGAGATGGCTTATTGGTCAACATTGAAAACCGTAAGTGTTATTCTCAAGAATTGTTTTATACACTTCATAATCTTATTAATTTACAGATGATGTCGCTCTGGTTGACGAAGACATTGACTCGTACGTCGACGACGAACCGGGTATTTACCATTCATACTAAACTAATGAGTTTACGATTATCATTTAACGTTACTGTTTCAGATCAAGAACAATGGAAGTTAGTCCCGGGCACATCAAGGTACACGACATTTTCACGTGCGCCATATGAACGGCAACAGTCGTCGAATGCGTCGTCGGTCATCGGACGTGAGTGTTAATGAAATCAGGGGTGTCGAAGCTCTCGTTCTCCCCGAGTACACGGACATTGAAAACGTTATGGCAAAAATAGACCTTGACCTACTGCCGTTCCTTGATTAGTTGGAGGAACACTTCGGCCCCGGTGGTATGGTCAAGGTCTCTAGCAAGAAGACGTCCACTCCGGCGCAGAAACACGTAAGTAAATCTGATTTCTTAACCCGACACGACACAATATCTGATTCCACCATTTGCATTTTCAGCTCTCCGGGATTTGGCGAAAGGTCGTTTGCGGCCTGTCCATCCGCTTTATGTGGACCTCCAAGCAGAGGAGAGGTGTGGTGGCAAATATGCTAAAAAGAGTGGGAGCGCCGTAGAGTCGAGGGCGACAAGACTGTGGTGACGGTCTCCACCCACAAGACCGGTGACAAGGAGCCGGCCACCTTAGTAATAGGACATGGCAAGGCCGAGCTCATGGAACGGTAAGTGGTTTATCCTCATATTGTTTATACAACCATATAAACTTTAAAGGTACTTTTCACTACGTCAGCGGGTGATGACTTCCGCGAAACAGTTTTTTGTGACTAACAAGGGCGAGAGAATCACAAAACTGTATGACAACGTAAATAAAATTTATGGTTCACGGTTGTCGGCCAGCGTTTTTAGACGGATGGTCGAACCGAAATCCAGAGGCCACCACCCCGACGTGAGCAAGTCGGTGGCGGTGGCACTCCAGCAAGGAGAGGCCATCCGCCGGCACGACAGACTGGAAATGGTCGGTGCGACGCCGTTGTTTGAGGCAGAGGTGTCGAAAAAGTGAGTTAATTAATGTGTAAAATCAACGAATACAAAATGATGAAAATGTGTATCTTATTTCAGCTTTGTAGAGATATTCGGCCATCAGGCCTATGTCAACATGACACATGATAACATCGTCGAGAGGCTGCAGACGTCGGACGAGTACGCCGCTCATGATGGGGCCGAGATCACGCAGTCGTTCGTCAGACGGGTGAAGGCCCGGTACGACGAACAAGTCCACGACGACAGAGTAACAATTATTTACGATCTGGCGGTACAGGAGTATGACAAAACCAACATTTCGAAATATGCGATTGAAAATCTGGCGAAGGAGAATAAAATTCATTATTTAATTTACGGAAATAAAGAAAAGATGATAAAGGACGTGGTAAAAACTTTGAATAGTCGGTGAACGACAGTGGATAAGGCCTTCGGGGATACCACTCCAATTTTTGATAAATCAACAGGTCAACGCCTAATATATGCGGTAGGATGATTTGAAGTCTGTTGAATATTATAATCAGACACTCGCCTGAATCCCTGTAGCGCAAAAGGGCCAGACAAGCCTTCAAATGAGGATCCGACCACCGTTTGAAGTCTGCGGAATATTACAATCAGACACGACATTTTCACGTGCCTCATATGAACGTCAACAGTCGTCGAATGCGTCGTCGATCATCGGACGTGAGTGTTAATGAAATCAGGGGTGTGGTGTTTTGGTTTTACTAATATCAATATTTTCCCACAGTAACGAGCCCATTAAGGGTGGACAAACCCGAGTCACGGGACTCCTCGATCTCCCGCAGTGAGTATTTTTGTTATAACCATGGGCGCGTGGTGTTCTGTGTTATTAATACTAGTTTTTTCCATAGGTTCATCTCCATTGCCGACCAGGAGAACTAGGCTAAACGTCGCAGAAAAAGAAAATAGTTTGATTACACAACGCGTAAGTGACCTTTGCACAACATACCTTCCCACCTAGCAATAAACTTATGGTATCTTTTTTTGCAGCTTATAAAATACTGTCCATTTTGTGCCTACAAAACTGATGACAACAAAATGAAACGGCACATTGGGATCAAGCATAGGCAACTCCTAAGACGACCGGTCAAAGAGAGCCTGAATGGCATGCGCCAAATCTTTGGCCAGGAGTCCAGGCGCTCCGTGTCACTGGTCCCAATGGCCGTGATCAAGGATCAAGTTGGTCCTTATTGGGACGATGTCAGGGACAGGGACACCGACATAGTAGATATACGAATTTTCCCGGTGTCAAATTGTAGTTTTGACATTCTGTTTTCCAACAGTGGCGTTTCGGGGAAAGTCAACCCCGATGACGGCGTGATGAAAAAATAAATATCTCCCTTCAATCTGTGAATTCCCCAAAATTGTCCCCGACAGTGGGTTATGAGAAAATTTTCATAGGCTTCTGTCTCATCAGACCGTCCACAATAATCAGGGTTACGTAATGTGGCGGCCGATAAGATTTTTTGAATCAACAGGTTGACATCAATGACGGGAATTTTGAATGATGACTTACTGACGAGGACATCGTCACGGTTGAAACCGACGACCCAGTAACAAGCTCGCGATAAGAATTTTTTTGAATCAACAATTGGACTTCAATCTGGGGAACGTCGGTGACAGACTCACTGACGGGGACAATATCTTGGGGAAAAGGAGGATGGAACAATATGCACGGTGAAATCCAAAGTGTCCTGGTGGTTTGCGGACCGACTCCCGGGGCACGCCGTCCGGGAACTTCGGATCGTAGGGTTCAATCTCGGAAATGACCCACTGACGGTGACAATATCTTGGGGGAAAGGAGGATGGAACGATGCACGGTGAAATCCAAAGTGTCCGGGTTGTTTGCGGACCGACTCCCCGGTACTCACATCCGAAGTCGAAATCACTTTCAACTATTTCCTACCACTATATCTCGATTAATATTTGTCCTAGCTCTATTCCACCTCTGTCCATTCACGTTTCTTTTTCGATTTACTATCAAGTTTGAAAGTTTCAAAGCCGTCAGATGAAAACTCACGAAGTTGACTTCCGAAAAATATCGAAAATCTCACGGGGACACGGTTCGAGAATTTCGGGATTGAACGTTTTGAATCGGTTTTTGACGGTCGCCGTCGACGGGGTTGACATCGGGCGGTCCACGTCCACCGGATTCCGATGGCAGGTTTCACTCCGTACACGAAATCCAGCGAAACCACGGCCATCCGCGAACACCCCCTTGCCAGATATCGATTGCCCTGTACGGTCTATAAGTTGCCATACTGCTACGCACCGACTTGCTGTTATACGCGTTCACACCAGCCGTCAGCCGTCAGGTCGATGGCAGTGATCGGCATCGTTGAGTAAATAATGTTTCCCGACGGCTCCGCTGCGTTCAAAATCGACCCCGAAGACGGCGTCGACGAAAAACCAATACCCGTGGTCAATCGTCGATTTCCCAAATTTTGTCCTCGTTAGTCGGTCTTTGATTTTAATTTTTTCGGAGTACACCACGGTAGCAGGACGATGGTTGACAGTCATCGCATAGTGTCCCCGTGAGTATTCGAAAATATAAAAACGATGTCAAGAAAAAAATCTGTGTCCCACTCAGTCAGTCTCAGAGAAATCGGTAAAAATAAAAAACTGGGTCCCTATAAGCCGGCCATTTGGATAGTTGTCCCAAGACCGATTTACGTCGACCGTAATACGTCAATCCGTGACCAACTCATGAGGACACGGTTATTGTCCTTGTGAGCATGACTAGATTGACATCAATCCAGTCCCGTGAGTCGGCTATTTGTCTTCTGGACTTGTTGCGAAAATTGAAGTTGGTTTAACCTCATCAGTTTTATACGCTTCATCCCGAAATTCCCGAACCGTTTCACCGTGAGATTATCGATCTTTTGCGGGATTCAACTTTGCGACCTTTCGACCGATGGCTTTGAAACTTTCAAATCTGATTGAAAAACAAAAATAAAACGTAAATGGATTGAGGTCGGAAACGGCTAGGACAAATATTAAACGAGATGTCTAGGTTCCTAAAAGTTCGGAGACGAACAATCGTCAGAGAAGAGTACCGAGGCGTCGGTCCACCAACCACCCGGACATTTATAGGTTGAACTTGTCCATCCACGGTGGTCTCTAGAACGTTTGGGCCGGTCCGTCAGACGGTTTGATTCGGTCTGCTCCAAGACAACTTTTTAATAATAATTTTTGAAGTCGGGAATTCTCTGTACGTTCCGTTTTATAAAATTTAAAACCAAGCGAAAAATTTTTAATCTTCTCTGACCAATAATCTCCATTATATGTTATTTTGGACGGCCTTCCCGGTCACTCGTTTAAAAGTCTATAGACCGTTTTGAACTGTCTATGTCAATTCAATACCACTTATTTTCCAATATGGGGAATTCCATTGACGAGCGAATTCTCTAGTACGACGAGTCTTTAACGAGGTATTTCATTTTTCTACAGAATTGCTGACTTGGACATGGATAACCGCTACGCAGGTACATAGAATATTTTTTTCATTCTTCAAGGGAATGGCGGACTTGGACATGGATAATCGCTACGCAGGTACATAGAATATTTTTTTCATTCTTCAAGAGAATTTCGAAATTGAACGAGGATAACCGTTACGCAAGTACATTGAGTATCTTTTAAATCATACATCAAAATTCTACAGACCGTTCATAACGGTCATTCGAAGGGAAGTATAGGATTGACATGGTATAAATCTTTCGATTCGAACCCCGTATTCAGGCTTGACCTTTTCTCGTTCCCTGCTTTCCGATGACCAAGTTTTCTTGTTCAATATCGAAATCATGAATTTTCGATGTCGGGCTTTTCGGAGTTTTGTCGACGGAATCCAAATGTGCAAGACGAAAGGCAGTGAAGCCCGCAGTCGGCGCTCAGATAGAACGAATACTGGCCTTCAACCCAGCAATTCTCTACTACCGGACCGTTCAAAAGGGTCTGCAAGACCGGTGCGTAGCGGTACCTCCGCCACTGTCCCTATCCGGGTCAGAGAGCGCAGGCGGTTCTCCGACAAACGTCCCTATACGTTTCCGCGGTGCCGGCAAAGTTCGAAGAGGCCCTCGCAGGGTACCTTGGTCGGTAGCACCGCGTAGAGGGAAAATGGGATTACGCGTTTTCTAATTTCAGTTTTAAAGATCTTTTTTCTACGGTTTCCGTATGCTCGTAACAAGGGGAGACCAAGCCCGAAGAGGGCATTCGAATAGAGCATTTTTTTCCGCGTCAATCCCCCACTTCCCTTCGACTGACCGTTCTCAACGGTCTGTGAGATTGCGAAGTCTAGCTTTCGTTCTGCTGGTACGATCGTTTTAAAAATTTAACTGTATAATGATCTCGGTAAAAAAAACGTAAATGACGTCTTGTGCCGAAGCTCTGCGATCATTATTTAAGAAGTTATAGGAGTAACAAATAGTTCGAGCGCTAAACATTCGAATCGGTCGGTGCCGGGGATGCGGTCCGGTGACACCCTGGGCTTTCAGATATTTACCGTGCACTCCTCAATACCTACTTTCCCCACGAAAAAGACCGTTTCTAAAGGTCAGGACCATGTCGCGAACCGGGATTCGACAGAACGCGCGAATCACCGGCTCGAGTCGCTGATAAGAGACCAGCCCGGGCGTTCTAAAATGCAAAAAACCCAGGGCTTGAAACAATTATCGTTCGTGGACTTGGCCGGGACTGCGCAGGGCAGTCTGTAACGTGGCCGTTCGGTCGTCCGGGAAAATCGCGTGGTTTCAGTTATCGGCCCTCCCAACAAATTCACCTGGACAGACCGCTAGGGACGGTCTGTTTTGAGAGAAATCAAGGATTGACGGTCGGTATTCATCCTATCTGGACGCCGTCTTCGGGCTTGATTTTCACCCGTTCCGTGACGTCCGATGACCATGTTTTCGAGTGCAATATCGAGAACTCAGATTTTCTATGTCAGACTTTTAAGAGTTTCGTCGACGGAATCTGACGGTGCCGGACGAGAAACAGTCAAGCCCAAAGACAGCGCTCGGATAGGACGAATACCGGCTGTCAGGCCTGGAATTCTCTCAATACAGACCGCCCCAAACGGTCAGCAAGAGATGGCCGACAAATGTTTGCGTAGCGGGAAGCATCACTACGGGCATAATCCAACTGTATAAGGGTGACCTAACTTGTTGTCGATCGCAGCAATAAAAAAAAAAAAGAATGAATTTCGAAAATGTTGTTGCCCGAACTGCCGTTGTCACAGCGCTGGAATCGCTTGTCTATAAATATTTGTGCGCCGCAGCGGAGCGGCGTCATTTGCCATTCAGTTGTTGGCCGTGTCTTTGTCTTTAATTTTTTCAGTACCGTTTTTTTTTTTGTCGTAACTTCGTTGTGTTTTCCTGTTCAACAAACATCGTTTTCTTGCGTGAGTATATTATTATGTGCCGACTGAAGGACTCCAACGAGTACGTCGTACGCACGTCGACGGACAAGTACAATTGAATTACCTTCCTATTTCCGAAGACGGTATGTTATATTTTGTAGTTTATGTATTACATCGATTCCTACATTCGTGCGTTTCGTTTCAGCCATGATTGGCGGAAGCGATCGACGGTCGTTGTCCACGATAATTCTAAATATTTCGTCTCCGCTAATATTGAATGGTGATTCCGACAGTGACAGAGAACCGGGGGCAAGACGTCCAGTCCGGATGACTTGTGTCGAATGGCAAGCGCTGGCACAAGACATTCCCGTAAGTCGATTAATAAGATGAATATGAACTATAACATCTCTAATATTAATAATTTATTTCAAAAATTAGATTATCAAATATTGTCCAATGTGCACGTATACGACGTCGGGCAGCAAGTTAGACAGGCACATATTGAACAAACACAAGGCTCTGATAAAGAAACCGTGCAAAGAAAACGTCACCGCCATAAGCAAAAAAATAGTCGCCGAATCGCGACGGTCCTACACGCTTGTCGGCCATCAAGGCGAAGATGGGGCCGTATTGGGACGACAGGTGTTTCAGGAGCGTTGCACATGAGTAAATACCGATTGATTTATTCACATATTCAAATTCTATGTTTTAATCTGCGTTTTCATTTCAGACTGACAACTATGGGACGCTTGAAGGTTTACGGAGGTTCTTGGCACCTACCAGGTGTCAAAGATTACCCGAATCCTTTTTCGGAGAACCTTCAGACCGACCCCACGTCAGACGGCGTTATAGACTTTCCGGTGCCGCTGATGGTGATGAAACCACCAAAGGTATATGCACCATCCTCTCTCACAACACCAGTTACTGGAACATCACGAGGAGTAGTTCCAACACGATTGGTGACGACACCTTCCACAGCGTCGACGGAAGGACCGGTGACCACACCAACGGCTGGTGGGAAAAAATCGTAAGTCCAAACGTCACTAATCGCTCCACGTAATATTCGATATCTGATCATATTGTTTTTTAAATTTAGAATTAGGATGTTGGCCAAGGACATGGGGTTGAACGATAGGTTGCCCAGTAGTCATCCATTAATTGCGATGATGGAGAAAACTTTGATGATTAGTCACGGGCAGGATTCCGAAGCCACTAAAAATTATAGTGGAAATGTCGCAAGGATATTGCACTTTGTTCACAAAACGCTGTTAGATGAAAATAGACCTCCCAAACATTGGGCCGACCTCGTATCATGTGACGTCTCAATATACGAAGATACATAGAGCTGTAAGTACACGTGCAAGTAGATAAAAAAAAATGAATATTATGACATGTTTATATTGATTTTCAGCCGTGAAAGTATTGGTCAGACAAAATCGACTACCATAAATTATCTAATAAACCTGCGGATGTTATTCGTCAACATTATTAACTGTTATATTCTCGAGGACGAAAATTTCCCGAAAGGCTTTGATCTCTCCCCCTGCACCAAAACGGTCACCAAAATTAAACTTTTGATGCACCACCTGGATACTGTGTACAAAAGAAAAACCAAAGAACAGCCGGGGGAGCTGTTCTGCCGGAAGACCAAAGAGGCCGAAGACATTCCTGACCACGCGGAGGTTGTCGCGAGCCTGGCTGAAATAAAAACCCATATACCGACCTATTTCCATGCTTTGGAGGAGGCCTTCGGGAACGAAGGAGTGTTCTCCGTCCGAAGCGAGAAAAATAGCCCGGCAGCGCAGAGACAGGTTTGTGTTGCGCGTGACGCTCGCAAGATTTAATCTAATCAATTTATATTATTTTTTAGATATCGAGTAACTGGAGGAAACTGACGTGTGGCCTGGCGATCGATATCCTGTGGACGTCAAAACAACGGAGCGGGGCGGTTTCGAACATGACCATCGTCGAGTGGGAAGCAAGGAAACACCATCTGACCAGTGCCGTCGTCACGGTGGCTGATCACAAGACGGGGTACAAGGAGCCGGCCACTGTCATGATTGACGAAGACGTGGAACAACTCATGGAACGGTAATCATTTGAATTAACCTAACCTATATGAACAGGTTCTTAATAAAATTGTATCTTTACAAATATTACCAGTTAAGACTGCGAACGGGGTACGACCCAACTTTTTCGTCACCAACCGGGGCGGCAGAATCGTTAAGCTCTACGACGAGATCAGTAACATCTACGGGTCCAACCTTAGCTCAGGTAAATTTAGGAAGATGATAGAAACGAGTAGCCGAGGTCACGATGCTGTGACGTCTTCGGGCATCGCGAAGGCGTTACAGCATTCCGAGTCGACGGCACTACTGTATTACCGTTTACCAGACACGGCCTAAGCAATAAGACGACAAAATGATTTAGACAAGGTGACGCATACGGCTCTCGTCAAGTCATATATAGAAGAACAGTAAGTAGTTTTACCTCTCTAAAAAAAACTCATAAACCTCACGTGCGGCGTGGTCTAACTAAAATCTGTTTTCCAGTTTCGAAGACTTTTTTGCACTCGTCGCATATTCGAAATTCCTGGCACCGGACGAGGCCATGGAGAGAATAAAGGAACACGACATATTCGTCACCTACCCAATGGCCAGTATCGACGTGCCCTACATCATGTCCTTTATGGATAGGTTTGATAGTAGCGTGATGGCAGATCGTGTCGAAATACTATACGATATCAGATGCCGGATACGACAGGAAGAACATAACTAACTATGCCATCACCGACGTGGCGAAGAAAAAGAAGCTACACTATTTCATAGCGAACCAAAAGTACTGCCAGAAAATCATCAACAAAGTTAAGGCAAGGGTAATGAGAGGAGATTGATGTGGCACAGTGGACAACAACACTTTAAAAAATAGATGACGTGGGAACGTCAGTGGATTAGGCCTCTTGGGGAAACCACTTTAAAAAAACGCGCTTCAGCTGATACCCCTTGGGTAGTGTGGAAATTCAGGTAGTACCAGGATTGCGGCTACGTCTTACCAGAACGTTCACGCGGAAGACTGCTTAGCGGTGAGTCTGAATCGAAAAAGCAGGTTAGTAGTGAGTCCACCAGGACTGGAAAAAAAAACAGGTTAGTGGGATAAAAAAAAGAAAAGGCGTTTGCCGATATAGACCTGTCCGAAGTAGGGGTTTTCGGCAACGTATTATTTTGATTATTGGGCAACTTTCAAGGTTAGGTTGAGATACTCGCGACTCTGAGGTACATGGCCATCGCAAACAAGAAAGATCGTATAAATTATTTACCGATCGACTTGAAACATTAAATATTGAAATATTATTATTCGAACTTTTTTTGGCACCGGATACACGGATAAGGACGGATACGATTAGAAGTCAAGCCAGAAGACGCTGAGGTCGAGCGACCTATATCGACCGAGAAGCCAGAACTTCCCCTGAATTAGACCGTTCCGGACGGTCCGCCCGGGCGGCTTTCCCCTGGTCGGCCGAAAATTATATCACGGTTTAATGGCGTGGAGCGACAAGCCAGATATGAGACCGTCGACGACGGTCACGCGTCCGCGTCCAAGATGGGGAAAATCGAAAAACGATTCAAGCCGAATTCTCTCGCATTTTAGACAGGTTCAAACAGTCTCTTATCAGACCTCCGATCCGCCTATTCTCGGCTACCGTCAAACCCGGGTCTATTTCCTTGGGAAGTAGAGAACTGACGACTACGGTCGTCGACCCAAAGTACCGGGGTAGTATCCGAGGCGGTCACCACCGAATGCCGTCAAGCTGGTCGAACGAAAAACGCGTCAAGCCGGATTAATTTAATTATAAGTAGATAATAGATAGCTACATAATACGCACGTAAATACTCAATTTCATAATACAAACCTTAATTCTACAACTTCGGCGTTTTCTTCAGAGTCTGACATAGTGAATACTAATTGTTAAAGTTATATAAACATAATTATCCTCAAAAGTAAAACAATAATAAATGTATTATAGTTATAACAACAAAAATATTGTAAGAACGTACATAGGTACATAATATGTAATTAGAAAGCCTTAGGTCACACCCTTGGACATACTTAGCATAGTTGGTCCATTGTAAGTAGGTATCTAAATCCTAACCAAAATTTACTGCATACCACGAACTAAGATATACAGGACTGGAAACGACCTAATATCACAGGGAACCCAATAGACTCAAAAAAAGTACACATCAGTTCTTGGCGCACTCTACCAATCAAATATATTACTGATTTTAATGTTAATGATAATTGATAGTATACATTTTCGAAATTAATTCGAAACTGCTAATAAGTAAATTAAAATATCTTAATATCTAATATTTATGAATTTTTTTTAATACTATGCAACGTTTAATATTTATGAGACTGTACCTAAGTTTAGAGCATTTCTTCTTTTTAGCATTCACTTATGCAACATTTTTATTAACTACTTGTGTATACTGCCGCATTCGCATAGTAACATAGTAGGACAAAATTGATGCTAATCTGTCACACTTGCCACTTAATGCTTTTTAATGTGTGTGCAAAGAAATCATCAACCGTCAAATTAAAAGCATCGCTGTAGTCACAAAATTTAGAAAATGATTTTTCCATTTCGGTGATTAAAGAAAATTAAATCTTGTTCGGGTGAGTTAATGCCCCTCTTGATTTTAAATTTGTCAGTACTGATTCCGGCCTATCACAAAAATCTGTTGTGCCTGAAAAATTAGAAACTTTTATTATTTACTTTAGGCTTTCATTTATCAGTTTCAAAGGGTACCTATGTCAATATAAATTATACTTTCCAACTATTGCTTTCTGACAAACCTTACAGTTTATATGCTTCATGAAGTATCTAGTTATGTATCCACATATATAATATAAAACACAGGTTTCTGTGTCAGCTTTAAAATAATTATGATCATTAGTATCAAATACATCTTCTACTTCTAAACCTACTGTAACATAAGAGTCTAATGTTTTACGCAAGTTCTCAATCTTTTTTTCTTTTTCTGTGATGCTATTAGTATTAAAAATGGTTTTTAAATCAGTAATAGCAATTTTGGGAGTTTCCGAATTTAAAATTGAACAATTTCCACTTTTTGGAGGCTTCAGAATGGAATAGACAGCCAACATTTTATAAACTTGAAGGAAAGTTGGTGTACATGGGTGATCATTCGGACCTATTGCTTGCCTCACAGTACCAAAAAATTGCTATGTAATTAAAAAAAAAAAATTGTTATGAACTTTTTTATTAGATGAGTAGTTAAATATTATTTTTTACTTCCAAACGGTCCTGATTCATTTTATATGTTAATATATACTTAAAACCACATTCATCTAGAAGGTATTTACAAAGATCCAATGTTGATTGTATCGTGACTCTTAATCCCTCAGCTGTTGATCGTGTTAAAAATTCATCTTCTGTTATACCATGTTTGTCAACTTGATCTTCCCAAGAATCAAGCCATGCAATGGTATCTTCTAAGACCTATAAAACATAATTATAGGATTGATTATGAATTATAATTACATTTATAGTAAACTTGGCATATTTGCCTACTTTAAAGTCATTGCTATTTTTTTTAATCCCTTCAGCTGGGTATTTTCGATTCAAAATATCAAACAATACATTT